CAGCGGGGTGCTCGACGTCCAACAAGCTGAGGATAGTAGCGCCGTCGTTCGTGACCGTGACATCCTACGCTGGGGTTAAGCGGGGTCCAGGGGGGGAGGGGGCCGCCGAACGTACACCAATATCGTCGACCATCATCTTGTCAAGGCCGCTCGGGCCGAACGAGCTCTTGACGACATTTGCGATAGCTTGGGTCGCGAGGACTGGGAGTTTGTTTTGTCAGCATGGGTGAAGCTGTAGCCGGGGGTCGCAGCAAGCGAAGCAACAACAGCGGCGACATACCGTTCTGGTCTCTGATGTCGGCACCGGAAATCTTCTGGCCACCGAGGAAAAGGGTGCCGCTCCCTGACTGCTCGAACATGGACGCCATTTTGGGTCCTCACTGCCTGCAATAATGGTGAATCGCGGGATAGGGAGGTGGTGGAGGGTGGATTTTGGGTAGCTCGTCGGTGTGGCCTGGACAGCAATAGAAGCTTCTGCGCTGTGCCTGCCTTGTCCCCTCGACGCAACTTTTTTTCGGACCCGAGTTGTTCCAGGAACCGGGGAGCTGTGGCTGGTGAGGTGCGCTGTCGATAAGGACTGTGTCGTGCTTGGAGATAAGCACTGCTCTACCGCCATTCTGGTACTGGTAATACAGTGCAGCTTCCCCACTATCACAGTGATGAGACCCATCCCTGATAAGCGCTCGGGCCCCTGGTCTGGTCCCCTGTGGCTGCCAATTGACCCCTCACCTCCCTCGCGCCCAACAGCTCGACACACGATTCACATTTTAGTGCGGGGCAGATTTTCCGCTGTATCGCACCGCCATCTCTGCCCAAAATCTCGAGTGACTCAGGCCGACCCGGGCACCACGCTGCCAATTCTATAAGCCGATACCCTTCTCGAGACGACCCTGCGATCCGCAGTCACTATCGCAAACATGGCCGACGCTGCTGCCCCCGAGCAATCCAAGAGCGCCTTGAAGAAGGCCGAGAAGCAGGCCAAGATGGCGGCCGAGAAGGCTGCGAAGGCTGCCAAGCAAGCCGCCCTTCCCGTTATCGGCGGCAAGAAGAAGACGGACGATATCATCGGAATCACTGTGAAGAAGAACGAGGACTTCTCCATGTGGTACCAGGAGGTCGTTCTCAAGGCCGAGATGGTTGAGTACTACAACGAGATTGCTGGCTTCTTCATTCTGCGCCCGGCCTCCATGTACATCTGGGGTGTCATCCGCAAGTGGTTTTCCGAGCGCATTGAGGCCATGGGCGTCGACGAGACCAGCTTCCCCATCTTCCTCTCCTCCAAGTCTCTCGAGAAGGAGAAGGACCACGTTGAGGGTTTCGCCCCTGAATTGGCCTGGGTCACTAAGGCGTAAGTCAACCTCTCCCTCCGAAATCGCCTCTGCCCCGACTAACAACCCTTTTAGCGGTGACAAGGACCTCGAGGTCCCCGTTGCGGTTCGTCCCACCTCCGAGGCTGTCATGTACCCTTACTACTCCAAGTGGATTCGCAGCCATCGCGATCTTCCCTTCCGCCTGAACCAGTGGAACTCCGTCGTCCGCTGGGAGGCCAAGCAGACTACCCCTTTCCTCCGCACAAGAGAGTTCCTGTGGCAGGAGGGCCACACCGCCCACCTTACCGAGGAGCTTGCCGGTGTTGAGGTTCGCGAGATTCTCGAGCTCTACGCTGGTGTCTACGAGGAGCTTCTCGCCGTCCCCGTCGTTCGCGGCACCAAGACCGAGAAGGAGAAGTTTGCCGGTGGTTACTACACTACCACCGTCGAGGGTTACATCCCGTCCAACGGCCGTGGTATCCAGGGTGCCACCTCTCACTGCTTGGGTCAGAACTTCTCCAAGATGTTTGACATCACCGTCGAGAACCCCGAGAAGAAGGGCGAGAAGATCCACGTCTGGCAGAACTCTTGGGGTTTGTCTACCCGTGTCATTGGTGTCATGGTCATGATCCACGGTGACGACAAGGGTCTCGTCCTCCCCCCTCGCATCGCCAAGACCCAGGTCATCCTCATCGCCGTCGGTATCACTGCCAAGACCACTCCCGAGGACCGTGAGAAGCTCGAGGGCAAGACCGACGACCTCCGCAACGAGCTGCGCAAGGCCGGCCTCCGCGCCGAGTCTGACTTGAGGGAGGGCTACACTCCCGCCTGGAAGTTCAACGACTGGGAGCTGCGCGGTGTTCCTCTCCGTCTTGAGTTCGGCCCCAAGGACATGGCCAACCAGGTTGTCAGCTTTGCTCGCCGTGATACCGGCGAGAAGGGCACCATCCCCCTGGCCGAGCTCTCCACCAAGGTCCCTGAGCTCCTCGAGACCATCCAGTCCGACATGTACCAGAAGGCCAAGAAGTCGTTCGACGAGCACCGTCTGGTTCTCAACGACTGGGAGAAGGTCATCCCTGCCCTGGATACCAAGAACGTTGTCGTCATTCCCCATTGCCTGGCTGAGAAGTGCGAGGACCGCATCAAGGAGTTGACCAACAGCGAGCCCCCTGAGAACGCCACCCTTCCTGAGGGTAAGAAGCAGCCTACCATGGGAATGAAGTCCCTCTGCCGTCCCTTCGACCAGCCCGAGGGCCTCGTCGCCGGCGAGACCAAGTGTCTGAACCCCGACTGCAAGGACTTTGCTAAGGAGTGGGTCATGTTCGGACGCAGCTACTAAAAGATGGGGATGTTATTCAGAGGAGTTGCGGGTTGAGCATTTTGGGACATTATCGGATAACGAGACCCACGGCGGATTTGATTCATGTCATGTGTTGCTAGAGGAGAGAGGTAGAGGGTCGAGCATGATATGGTTTCTCAAGAATTAGCGAGGGGAAGTAGAAACATGCAGGTAAAAAGTCATTCGATACCAAGTTCATTACTTTTTCAAAATCCTCCAGTGAAGCATAGTGTCGAATCTGCGACGCGCAATATTGGAAACTGGACAATAATCATCTCCTTTGCTGGTTGTGCTCGTCGCCGTTATGGACCCTGCATCCCGAAAGCCAGCCCGCAATTGACTTCGGCACGGTCGACTGCGCCCCCCTGTCACCCGGACCGCCAGTGGGTCGACTCATGATGGCTCATTCAATTGGTACCCCAGACCAGTCCCGAAGAGGCAGGTCTCGGTCCCCCTAAAACATGATGGTGGGTGACTCATTTTCAGCGTCTTTGTCCAATCCCATGTTCTACCAGTCCCCCTATCGAATAGCACTGACAGAAGACGCCTTATCTGTCGATTTCTGTTAGTGATTGGCATCGGAGCCGACACAGAATTGTCAAACTTGCTCCGCATTTTGACTCAGAGGATTTGTCTTGCAGCGAGGCGTAGACTGATGGATGATGTCGAAATGAGTTTGCTACGGCTATGGTTTGGTAACACATTGCTGATTCGCCAATTGAAGTCGAGATGTGCCTGTGGATCGAGAAGTCTCGGCCATCCTTGAGCCTAAGCGTTTTGTCTTCCGCAATGAGCTCTGTTCCAAATATTAAAGTATAAAGCAGAACAGTTCTTCATAGTAGACAGGTTTAAATCATCAAACAAAATCAAGAAATCAGGTTTACCAACATAAATCACCAGTTTACCCATCTCAAGTTCATCGCAAACACATCTAATGGTCGGCGCAACAATCACTAACACCACCAATACCAACACAACCGCAGCCATGGAGCAACCAACCACATCCCATTTCAAGCTCTCCGCAACGTTCTGCGGCACATGCGATGTCCGGTTCGACAACCCAGATACTCGCCGAGCACACTCAAAAAGCCAATGGCACGTCACGAATCTCAAGCGCCGCATTGCCGAGCTGGAACCCCTCACAGCGGATCAGCACGCCGCTGTGGTGGCCGCCGCCCCGACTAGCCCCACCACGGAGCCCTCATCGGAAGACTCCTCATCCTCCGCTTCCGATGTCGAGACGGACACCGAGCCCGAATTCGTCCCCGAGGAATGTCTTTTCTGTAATACAGTCTCAGAAAACTTTGAGGAGAATGTCGCCCACATGCACAAGTTACACGGCATGTTCATCCCCGACAAGGAGAGACTTATTGTCGATCTCGAGACTCTGGTACGATACTTGCACCTCGTCGTCTTCGGGTACCGCGAATGCCTTCAATGTGGGACGCAACGCCGCACACCTGCCGCGGTTCAACAGCATATGAAGGGAAAGAACCACTGTCGCTTCGACATTCACGCCGAAGACTCCGAATTCAGAGACTTTTACGAGAAATTGGCCACCGACGAGGAGGAAGCAGAGCAGGAGGGCAAGACGCGCAAGGCCATCGCCGACGCCATCGAAGAGGGCAGTTCTTTACGCCTACCATCTGGAAAGACGCTGTCCCACCGCTCCGCTCCAGCACCATCACGTCCTCGCAGAAAGCTCGGTGAATCTTCGTCTGGCGAGAACCTTCTTCCCGAGGGCGTGGACGTGGACGAGTCCAAGGCGAGCATGCAGCTCACCGCGCCCGGGAAGAAGAATAGTTCCAAGGCGCTCACGCGTGCCGAGAAGCGCGAAGCCGTCTTTGAGACGCAGCTGGCGCGGTTGAGTGCCAACGATCGCATGGCGCTGGCTCATCTTCCCGTTGCGGAGCAGAGGAGTTTGTTGTTGACGCAGCATAAGCAGTTGCAGAAGGCAGAAAGGGCTGCTAGGAGAACTCATATGAGGTTGCAGATGAAGGGAAACATTAGTGGACGGTTGAATTTGGTTGATGATGTGATGGGGCCGAAGTTCATGGTGGGATTATGGGGATAGAACGCAGGGACTACGACATTCATGAGAGAAAGAGAGTTTTATTAAGAGATAAATGGATGCATAACAAAACAATCTGTTTCCAAATCTTCCGATCGACATGCTGTGCCTTTTTTTCAACAAAATCAGTCATCATCATAATCTTCGTCTTCAAGCCCTGCCCCCTGAGCTTGCCATTCTGGCCCCTCCTCTCCATCATCATAATCCTCCTCCTCAAACATTTCAGACTCATGCCTCATATCAAAGGTTTGATTGCGGAAAGCTTGTGCTGCCGAACCACCTATTCCCCGACCTTGAGATTGTCTCTGATGATACGATCCCGAGCGTCCGGCAGCACTCTCAGTACCTCTGCCTGCACCTCTCTGAGACTGTGTCGAGCCTCTGTCTTCTTGGGCCCGGCCCCCTCTTCTCGGGGTTGTCGGTAGGTATGCTGAGGTTCTTCCTGTTCCTGGTGGCATTCCTGGTGGATGTGAAGCCCTAGGCGTGCTTTGACGTTGAGTTGATGCCGATGCAAAAGTGTTGTATCCGCGATTCATTGAAGCCAACTTCTCGTTGGTAATATCGTCAGCACGGATGGCGTCAAGCCTTGCCTCGTCTGCATCTGTCTTTGCCCTTGTATAGTCCATGTAAGTTCCAAACTTTTCGATCGCCTCAGCAACCGTGACGAATTGGGTCTCGTCAAGTACAAAGCCCTCGGAGCCCTCACGAATTGCAGCACCTTTATCGCTCTGGAAGGCGCTGAATTGAGCGAGCGAGGTGGCAATCTGGAACGCGTTCCGAATCTGACGACCGTTCCAGCGTAGGTGCGGGGTGTCTTCTTGTTTGTCAAAATATTGCTTCGCGTAATGGACGATTTTCTTGGCCTTTATTAGCAGCTTGGGCCTTTCTTCCGCGGTATTCTGTCTCTGTAGTTGCCTTTCTTCCTCGATAACTCTGAGACGTTGGATGTTGAACCGAAAGATGTCAACCGTCTGTGCCCTTGATAAAGGTTCATAGTAAAGGCTGATGTGAATCCGAGACTTGAAAGCTTCGTCAAGTAGGCCAACTCTATTCGTCGTGAGGAAAAGAATACCGCTATAGTACTCAAGAACTCTGAGGAATACTGGGTAACTCTATGGTCAGTAATATCGCTCAAGGTAGGTTTTGTGACGAGTTCTTACCGGAGACAAGGGCGTTTCTTTTCAAGTTAAAGGTGTCCCTTCTTGCGAGAAAAATATCGGCCTCGTCGAGCAAAAGAACACAGTCCCATAGGTGGGCCAATCGGAAAATTTCCATCAATCTCTCCTCCACGTTTTCAGGATCAAGCCCTAGGTCGCCACAGGCGATTGTGAATAGGGGCTTTCCGTTAGCCTGGGCTACAGCCTCAGCTGTAGCCGTCTTTCCCACCCCAGGAACCCCATGCAGGAGAATGAAAAGGCCAGATCCCTTACCCCGGATGATGTCTTGACTGATATGACTAGGATTCGGAGCTCGACGCTGGAAATTTCTTTTTTCGAAATGGTCCGATACCAAAGACTGCAATATGAGCTTGTGATTCAAATCGATCTTCAGCTCGTCGAAGATGTTGGTTTGACGAGGCACCATACTCAAAGAGAAAATGTCCACCATCCTGAATTTCCTCAAACGTAAGACGTAGACCGGCAATCGTCTTGGGAGCAAGATAGTGTTGATATCTTCATCGAGACCAGCAAGGTTGCGTACAGCCCCCTTGTTCCACGCATCAATGAATTTATCTTCGTCGATTCCTGCCTGCTTCAACTTCTCTTCGACATCGTCACTTCGTTGTGTGATCTCTATGATGTCGAATAAAGGCTTCTTGACCTTGACCGTGTGGTCGAAACTGGGCCAGTGAAGTAGCTTAGTGTTATCTGATCCGTCCAACCAAGTGCTTGTCGTCTCTCCTGGATTAGGGAGACCAAAGTACATTTTCCAATAGGTCTTTTTCCTCAGAGCCTCAGCCACATCGATGATGACATCGCTTTCTATGTGTGTGGGACTGCTTCTCTTTCTTTCACGCCACGGTTCAACATCACTTCTGCCCAGAGGTGGGGTTTTCACTGTCCAGCCTTCACAGAAAACATGCTTCTTTTGTGTGAAGACTTTGAACTTCTCGCCCTGTGAGGTAAAATTCTCCTTTAGCGTCTCGTAGTCAGCGGCGAAGCGCATAGGATAAGCAATCAAGGTTCTGATGTGCTTTCTTCCAGGGAAGGCGTCAAGGGTAAACCTATACTTGACAGGTCCGTACGACATACCATCGTAGTCTATGTAGTAGCACCACAGTGTCAGTATGCGAAGGTCTTCTTTTTTCTCATCGGCAAAAGATACACCGACAGGAGGCCCTTGCCGGCTCACTGGTGGCCAATTTTCTCCTTGCTTATGCTCTTCTTGCCTAGGCACGACCTTTGTGTCGAGGTCATTTGGCTCATCGTCGCTAATGACGGCGTATGACTTGTGGAAGAGCTTGAAGCACGTCTGGTACCTCTTGCTGGGATCACCAGCGTCTTGTGTGGCACCGATGGTTGGAGCGTAGATAATGTCGCCCAACTGAAAAATAGACCATAAGTCTTCGAATCGAACCATGCTTTTGTCGTTTCCAGCGAACGACGCATGTATTGGCAGCACTCTGGTGTCCATGAACTCAACATAACATCGGAGATGCTGTATCGCGACATCACCCGTCATTGATGGGTCGTTAAATTCCGGAATGTCATCATCTCCCGAAGTAATTTCTTGCACAATGCTGTCGCCTGTAAAACTGTTCGCTAGCCCGCCCTGGCGTTTGGCTTCCGCGTCCAATAGTTTGGAATCGGCCAACTTGTTGTCGAGGTTTTCGAGATATTGCAAAATTCGTTTGACACGATCATGATAGTACAAGAGGCACTTGAAAGGTCTGAAGAACACTCGGGGTTGCTCCGTGTTCCAATCGTGAACGTCCATCGCAAGCCTCAGGTGTCGCAGGAGGATCGGCGAGTGAATGCGAATACGCTGTATCCAACTGTCGCCGACTGAAGTTCTGAGGGATATTTCTTGTCGTCGGTGCCTGTGACCCTGAGCTTTGGACCGCCGTACCTTCTCTCTTCTGACTTCATTGACCGTTCTGTCTGAGCCCATCAAAAGCTCAATGATGTGGTAACGGCCCTGCTCCCCCCAGCGATTCTTGAAGTCTTCGTAATTGAACTCTCCAACAGACACCAGGAGTGGAAGTCCCAGGATCTGCGACAGCCAAGTGTTTGATGTCTCTGCATTTACATCATGATCGCCCTCAGACTTGGAAGTCGTGGTTGCTGGGATGTCGGAAATGTGGCCTTGAGAGACGTCTGCCAATGGTGCCTTCGGGCCATCATTTGACATGGTGGCTGCTCCTAAGTCTTTTCCAGCTATGCTAGATATGTTTTGAGAGTGGCAGAACTAAGGCGCTTGATCGACGGATGGGCGTAGCTGCCGTGTTCGTACGGACTGACGTACATTGAGTACGGTGAAGTTATTCAGTTCTATGGATCTGGTCAGTAAGCGGCACGATGGGATGGAGCAGAATTAGCGGACCAGAAGTGATTATGGAATTGACGGCAGGTTTGTGTCAATATTTCGGGGAATGGGACTGGGACAATATCCCAACGGGTTGGTCAAGCGTTCTAAGTTAAATAATGAATGAAGACGAGGTGGCTGCGTCTTGTAGAAAAGCCACAGACGAAGGGAAAATCTGACGACGCAGACCAGAGCTCAGCCTGATCTGTAGCTGAGACGTTTTGGTGCTTTTTCTTCTTACACTAGTCTATACCAATTCCCAGAAGCCCCCACGTCTTTGGCCAGGGGGCAAATGATGCCGACGTAGATCACAGATAAGGCAAGACCAATAAAAGAATGCAATTCACGTAAATATTTGTCATATGATACATCCAATACAGCCTATCTCTGCATCGCTCGTTGTGGTGACGGCAAGGCCACCACTTAGAGTGACACTCTACAATGCATGGGACTTTTGAAACTCTTTTCAGGCCTTTTGCACTCGCGTAGCTTTCCTTTACCGGAAGTAGGCGCAAGTGGCAATTGTGGTTGTATCAGTTGTCCCGGTCGCAATGAAATGTGAAGTTGGCTTACGCGCAGGCTGCACATTTCAGCTTGTGTGACGTTACCATTTGAAGACATTGGTGGAACTTGGCCTGGCCAAGAAATCATACGCCAGTCAGCATTCAATGCAGTAAACCTCTTTCGATAGGCCGGGGCATCATAAGCTAAGAGCTATCGCCGATTATAAGGTATGTGAAGGACTCATTAATGTGTTGTAGAGCCGCATTTCCTCCTCCATTTGTTTTACCCATTCCGAACACGCAAGGTCGAACGAGATTGATAATTATCCTCTATCGTTTATCGGAAGAATCTCACTACCCCACGAAGGGAAAATGGAGTTACAGGCTAACCCGTTGGTTGTCAGACGGAAAGCACAAGAGTGGTCCAACGATACGCAAAGATTAAGCACCCAAGGTTTATTTGGGGAATTGACTGTGCGAAATGATGCACTAGTCGATTTTCCGAGTCATTATAAGTAGGACCACTAAGGCTCAGAGCTTGAATAAATCTGACTATGAATAAAGAAAACTCCTGCCTTTACTTCAACAGTACTTGATTCGAGACGCCAGATTCAATTGGGCAGATAATCCTACCCAAAGAGAGTGGGAGGCGTTGTTTGACGATCTTGCAGTAGCAGAATCGAAGGCCGCCGTGTCAGATAATGGTCCATTCGATATTTTCGACAGAATGATGCTTCGGGTGGGCAAGCATGCAGACACTATCGACCCGTGGATCAACTTGATACCGGATGACTTTGGGCTGTGTATCGTCAAGTCAGGGTTTGCATTGCTCTTGGACGTATGTCACCATCATTATTATGAATTGATGTCGCTAAAGAGACTTCAGTACGCAAGAAAACATTCCGATAAGAGGCAAGAGATATTCGACGCTTTCATCTCTCTCCGGAACATTCTGGGAGATGCTAGTTCCAAGGGTATTCACTTCCAAACCGACCCTGACGTTTCTCATTGCGCTGCAAATGTGTACGAGGCAATTGTAAACTCTATCCAAGAGCTTTTGGTACTGGTTGAAACCCAAAAGAAGAGCAAGTGTAGGTTAGCCGCAGCGAGACTTCCGAAGATACACTGGCTAATGTGCACATCACAAGGGTATCTCAAAAAGCGGAAGAAGGACCAGCCGAAAAATGTGCAAGAAATACTGCAGGAGGCGAGTGAAAGAGCAAAGGCTCTTCTGGTAACGGTGGATAACTGTCGAGACGCCATAATCAAGAAAACTGGAGAGGACACAAGCCTCGTGGTGGATGAAGTCCAGTTCATTGGTTGGAAGGCTATTGAGATAAGAGAAGCTGTGAGTAATATCGACAAGAGGCTTAATATGCAGGTCTCAGCGCTGGAAAGTGTACAACGGACGCAAAATACGATCGTGGATTTGGCCAACAAGCTTCAAGCGAAACAGGAGGACAACTTCCGCCAGCAGCACAAGAGTGAGATATATCCTCCGGTTGGTAATACCAGTCACGCTGATTCAAATTGTAGAGTTTCAGGTCACCATTACCAGGCTTGAGTCTCTATTGAGACAACAAGAGATGGGCATTATACCCGAACTTGATATGTCAGTGCGAGAAGAGCATTCTTTTTCGCCGGTTTCTTTTGACCGCTTACTCAAGATTCTCGCCGCTTCCAACCCGAACGCAATACTCCCTGCCCAAACTCCTCTCAATTTTGAGGTACTTCATGTGCGGACAGCCGAGCTGCACAACGTCCTTACAGCGGCATCGGCGTTCGGACCGAGAGCTCAGAGTCAAGCTCAATTAATATTGCACCAAGACCGGTTCTTTGATTGGATGCACCACAACAATTCAGACATGCTTCTTGTTGATGGGAATATCCAAGAATTCTCTCGGAGCGCTATCTCACCTCTTTCATCCCTGTGCGCTAATCTTTGCTTAACCCTGGGCAACATTGAACCCGATTGTGTGATCATACAGTTTTATTGTGGGTTACATACTTCTTGGCACCAAGATGATTGGCATGGCCCCATTGGGATGTTGAGGCTGCTCAGTCTGCAACTTCTTATGTCTTTGGTTGAGAATGGACGTTGTGATCTGAGCTTCCTGAATTCCAGGAGGTATTCTCAAGGCCTAGAGCATCACAACTTGGAAAACCTATGCGATCTATTGCAAGATCTTCTACAGCAGTTCGACACAGGAAGCAAGGTTTACTGCATTATTGACGGGGTTTCCATGTATGATGTGGAATACAATGGCATGTTTATCGCCCTGAAGGTGGTTATGCGGCGCATCCAGGACATGGTCATCGACGAAAACATGAGACCGAACTTCAATGTTCTCATGACGGTCCCATTCAGGTCTTCACCGAGACTGAGAGAGATCACTGACGACGAGTTTTATTTGTCAATGGCTTCAAGAACCATGGTTTCCCGGGGATTGTCAGAGACTTCGGTGTCATTTGCTATCTCTCAGCCGTCAACCCTGCTCAGAAACGCAAGTCACTCAGACCAACAGGATGATCCTTTAGGTTCGGCAGATGAGGATTACGACGACGAGTAATCGCGCTAAGTTCGGGCTTAGCATGAAGAAGTGGCAACTGGGAGTTCCAAACATGGAGGAAATACGAGTTGGCGATAAGTGCACTTCAGGTTTGCTTCAAACAGAGCTTTGCGATCTTCGCGGCGTAATTTGTTCTCATTCGGTATATTTACGACAATTCATTTTATTTGTACTGCAGTTACGACTTCCGGTATCTTAATTATAGTTGTTGTTGCCTTTGGTATTGCCTTCTCCGTCGTTGTCGCCGTCGCCTCTGTTTGTACTTAGTGACTCATAGTTGACCTTGGCCATGATACCGTGGGTCGGCGGCAACAGTAAACGATAACTACCTCACCCATCATCAGTAGCAGTCAAGTCTATCAATAAGGCAGCCTCTAGTTGTCGTCGGCTGGTATACAGTAGTAAGGACCCCGTGGATCCGACCAAAGCTTGTCAGGATCCACTCCCAGCCTCTTTGCGACCATCTCTGTTGCTTCACGCCTCGCCTGGATGAATTTGGCAACTAGGGCCTTGTCTTTTTCTTGCTCCTCCCGAGGGGCGTAAAGATTGACGTTGGCGGCTCCAGACAATCGATGCAGTCTAAACAGGAGCCATTGGAAAGTCATAAGCTCCCAGTTGGGGACCTTCTGAGGATCCTCGGACCAGATGGTGAAGGTGTGGCCGTTCTTCAATGGAACTGCGACGTCGAGCTCGTTCTCGTGATCCCAATATTTCCACATCTGGCGTGGGTCTGCATCCATTGTGGGAGGACTGTCGTCAAACCCTCCCATTTTGGTTTTCTGAAGCCAATGAAAACGAAGTTCGATCCCATGCATGAGCTTCTTCTTGCTGGTAAGCTTGGTCTCCTTGCCTCTCTTGTCACCTTTGGAGGTGACCTTTTTATGCGGCGGTTCGTCTTCAGCTGCCTCGGCACCTCTCTTCACAGCAGATGGCCCCGTCCCAGGCTTCTCCTCAGCGACGGGCTCTTGAATAGTCACATATTCATGTCGTTGGCGAACAGGCTCGAGGCCAAATACCCTGTTGTTCCACATCTTGCGAAGCGAGCTGCTCAGAGTGATCATGTTTGCAGGGGAGTCCAGTAGATCGAAGTCACCAGGTGCCGTCTTTTCGCCTTCCGAAGCGTTCTGATTCAGGATTTCCATCAGTTTGTGCTTAAGATCTATGCCCAGAATGGCCCCGAGAGGTTCGACGACGTTGGCCTGGATTTCCGAGCGTCGCGAAAGTGAGGAGAATGGGAACACATGGCAATCCTCGTAGCTACTCTGGTGGGTAAGAACACATCGGAAACGGTCTCGGCTTAGGGCCTTTGAGCAGGTTAGCATGGGATCGAAAATGACAGAATCATAGAAACTACATACCGCCTCCCTCTGCGGATTGCTGCCCACCAAATCTAGCTCTTTTGTTGACCTATCCGTCTGACTCACTGCAAGATGTAAGTCATGCAAATAGCGCGCGATCGGTGATGTAGATAGACTCACTCCACCACATTACTCCGCCCACGTTGCGGGCAGCCATCAGGAAAGCGCTGAGCCTGTCCCCTTTCTCTTTCGCAGCCCCAGAGCGCATAAAACATTGGAAAGCGACCAGTTCGTCCCAATCCATCGTCAACAATACCGCCCAGCAATTCGCAGATGTGACCGTCTTTTCATTATGAGCCCAGGATAACATCCTTTCGAGGTCCTTGTCGTGGCGGATGGTGTGATGAAAGCTCCTCATCACCTCGCGTCTTTGTTCCAAGGTAGCTTGGCAGTTGTCAGACAGATAATCGATGCGCCCGTCCATGGTTTTCAAATTGTCTCGGAAACAGTTGACGAGGTCGTTGGTCTTACTGGGGATAGAAGGCGGGTTGTCATTCATTTTGTTGTGCCTCGTAGGCGTGGCGGAGATCAGAGTAGGAAAGTTTCCACCAGCGAGAAACCAGAAAAGGTGTTGCGCCAAACACCTTGAGGGCCCGACCTTGAAGTGATCCCTTCAATATGCGCCGCAAACACCCTGTGAGTCCGGTACAAAGGCTCAAAGTCCAGCTCAGTTGTCAGGATCTTCAGTTTTCGTCGTCGTTAAACATGCGCCCCCCCCTAGAGCGCGACTGAAAATTGCTAGGAAAGTTCCACTCCATAGTTAAAGCCACCGAGGCACCGAAAGACACTGCTAATTAAGCGGGGTTGTCAAAGCCTGGAAACAGCTTACACTGGACAATATGAGAGAACGACAAACGCGATGGATAGTACGGGGTTTGAAATAATAGCGTAGCACAATCTCAAACCTCTTTCAACTGAAGTTAGTGCATTTCGATCACTGCGATTAGACTCAGCACAAGGACTTGAGCACATGCAGTACGATGTTTCAACGCAGGTTTTCTGTTGATTTCATCGAACGACGCAATACTGCAATAACTCGTAAGATCTCGTAGCATAACAGTTTCCAGAAACCGCAGTATGTATGATTCGCCGGTTATGTAGTGACAAGTCCTCTTCACACGACTTGCTGAAAATAGAGGTTTGCTATCCGGGCGACGGACTGCCTGCACGATTGCAAACATGTGATCTCTCATTATATTTACTAAAATCTATGCTATGAATTTTAGTGTCATGATTGTTGCTATGATAGATATAGTCGTCATTGTCTTCGCCGTCGCCGTGGCCGTCGCCATCGTAATCGTCCGTCCTCGCCGCCACTGTCGTTGTCACTGTTGCTGTCGTCCTATAATTGCTATTCGCCCGAATAACAAATCTCTAGAATAAGTGGCTTACCATCAGTGGGTAATCAGTTTTAGTTTCAAATTAATTATCCACCAGATTTAGTGATCCCTAGGTGCTGTTGAGGTCTTCATATCAATGAACGTAAGACAAAAGCACCAGGAAATGTGATTTTTGACACCGCTGTGAGACATGCTCGAGCATTCTATGCGACGGCCAGTTCAGCAAGTGTTCAGGCAAAGGTCATTTCTGGAAGGATTCAGATATTGTCATCTCTATCTGTCTGCATTTGAATTCCATATTCCCTGTCTACACTAAAATAATTTCCTTCTTCTCCATAAGCCAATGATCTGTGCCTGGGAGATCCGGACTTCCTTCGGCTAATCCCGTATGAATCCATACATAACCATATCGTTGGTAATCCTTCTCCCCATCGCGATTCATTTGTTGTACCAGTAGTCCCTCGTAGCCTTTGCTGAAGCGTGATGAAAAGCGGCAAATAGGTAACCATTGAACGTGAATACCTGAATTCAGACGCTCAAAAAAAGAACTGAACAGGATAGGAGACTGATTGGAGCGCTGCATATCCAAACTAAACCCGAAACTGAAGTCATTTTGATTTCCGTGGTAGTCGTTGAAAGTGAGGGTGGTTTTCTCGTTATGTGATCTAAGCTTAATGTCAAGTAAGGGTGCTCTAATATATAATCTGGGATCAACGGCTTCGATCAATGATGTGTTTCCAGCATAAATGGGGAATCTTCCCGGCCGCTGTGAATGGTCATCGCTGATGAAGACCAATGGTTCAAGGACCTCGTCGAACCGGACCGGGCAATTCGAGGCCCATGGCCAGGTGGGAAACTGGGTCTCGACAGGCTCTGATGGTTGGTCTTCCAGGCTATGTGATCTGAGATGTGAGCTCCATGCAAGTCCCTGCGCGACGTTACTTCGGAAGATGCCATGAAAATACTCAGCCCCGAGACGCTCGACAAGCAGGCACGCAACACCATGGATGGCATATATGCGGTCTTTTTCGTATTTGAGTACTCTCTTGGAGTAGAAATGGACGATAATGCCAACCGGAGGAACCGAGTATCTGTTCCCTAGGCAGTGCTAGGACGTCTCGAAGATTCCAAGGTGGACGGCGTTCAGAATCTTCGTTTTCCCACCTTTCCAAACTTCCCTCCAAGAATTTCGAGCTTTGGCATTGGAGAAAGATACCATGGAAAGTCCAATGCACTATGCGTCGCGATAGCATCAGCTCTTGAATGTACCACCCACGCTTCATCAGCGGTGTTTTCGAAAGTATTTGTTCCAGGCTTGAATGACTCTCTTCCGCCTCGAGAACCAGGGACTGTGACGACTCGCCGGATTGAACTTTCAAAGCGATGGGTTGTACTGGGTATCTCCCTGATGGGCGTTCGGTAAGAAAACCTTCTGAGCTATCGTGCGCAAGCGATGCTGCTATGCAACAGTGTGCGTTAGCATAGTAATCTCCCATCCTGACGGCTTCTGTTTTGAAGTCCCCAGGATCGTCTTCTGTGGCTTGAACGATGCAAATTGCATCCACCCATAGGTACTGAAACCCCATCAACCTTGTCAGTCTGATTGCATCCTGTATGGTCCTAGGAAGTGTCGAAGTGGAAATTCCGCTCAAACGACTCTCAAAATTGTATCTCGTCGTTTTGGCTCTCTCGTTGCCCTGTCCCCAGCAATAACTGAGAATCAAATATGGTTGACTTTTTCGATCTGACTTTTGGTTCATTTCGATGAGTCTGATGGAACCGGTATCGGAGTTACCAACATCGACCAATCGTGTTGGTAGAATGTCTGTCTCGCCCGAGGGTCCACAGTGGTTGTGGTTTTCTCCCTGCTCGCGACAGCTTCTTATCCACGGTTGTATCTGGTCCTTGATCAATTCTCTAAGATCATCGGAAATAGTCTTCCGAGAAAGGCCTGCAAGAACAATTATAAGTAATACAATGTCGAGCATGGCTTGGTCGACCTACGTTTGACGTGTCGTTTGGTTGATATTTCCGCCAGCCTTTGTTCGTCAGGTATAACCCGGAAGCAGACACAGCTATCAAGACAAGAGAACCCGCCTCTTTCGTACAATCTCATCCATATTCTATCCTTTCCCGTTTCAAGACTGATTGCAAGTTTTGGATCATTGTTGAACTTTGCTTGTTCTATGTCTGTAATATCCTTGGACTTGACAAGGGATAACCACAACAGTTGGCAAAGCGCACAGCCTTGGTCAGCTGAGTTTTGAAGTAGAAGAAAAGTCTCGTGTGGCGGTTTTGGTTCATAATACTGGAGTGTACGAATTGGGAGCGGCACCCATTGAAAAGATTTACAGGAAGCGCATAATTGCTTCGAACCAACCGCGCTGACTTCGATGGACATCGTTGCTTAGTATTGTAAGGCAGTGCTGCCGAGAATATGAGGGTAACGGGATGAAGGCTTGCGGACGAGACTTTTGTTTCATGCTGACAAGACGTAAAAAATGTAGCAGCCTAGCGTCCCCGCCTCCTATTTGTTGGACTTGCTGACCATCCACACTTCCTAACCGAGGGCAGGGACAAAAAGACGCTGCGCAGGCGAGACATTCAATGCTCCAATCAGCTGTGCTAGCGCAAATACTATGCAGAGCGGTTGCTATGGATGCCAGCGTGTGTCGTTGAATAACCTAAAAGGGTGTACCAAATGCTTTAGGCTCGAATCACAATGCCTCTCTCATGGCTCTAGGGATTTGACATTTCGGGCGGACACTCCTAGCCATCCGGATACAAATGGATGACAATCATGATGATATAATTGAATAGTTAATACAAGCAGAAACCCGGCCGAATATCAAAATATTTGCTCAATATCATAGCATCGAGCATCGCAGCTCACCAACCCTTGCAGGCCGGCTGAATGTCAGAAGTAAACTGAAGCAGGGCTGAGATATGATTCACAGTCAGGCACATACAGAGGGGTAATTGAACTCTTGTTTAAGATGGTAATTGGAAAAACATTCTAACAGGTCGACGAAATTTGCATTGTTGGTCTACGATTTGAAGTCAACAATGACGTCGACCCCAACGGGACGGCCTGTGTCAACCAGCCTCGCCTTCAACTCTTTCCCTCTTTCCTCTTCACCGGCAGCCTCGCCGATCTCTAGTCTCAGCTCCTTCAATGAGGGCGGCCGACTCTCCAAAAACTCCATAATTTTCCATTCCAGAGTCTCCCATCTCGCGGCTTCGGCATGACCGCCTTCACAGTTGAGATCATCCCACTGATATATCCCCCACGAAGCCATCTCGTTTGTTATTGTTAGCACCTCGAGGCTTTCCGGCAAAACGTCGATGAGATCAGAGGCACCTTGCGTCTTCCAGCCAAGAAGAACGGGCAAGGAAATGGCTAGGTGAGTCAGGCTGGTGAAATCTTCCAGCGAACCGATCGAACCGCGGATGCCCCAGGGTCCTGGCCCGCCACAGTCGATGGCAGTTGACGACCATAAGGTCAATGATAGCGATAGGTCCTTGAGTGATTCCTTTAGAGGTGTCAGAGCAGTTTGCAGGTTTTCCATGTTGAGCCATCCTTTCGCGCAGTCGGCGTCGATAGCGATATCGACTCGCAAGACTTCGAGAGTCGGGGAATTTCGAATGATTGTGGCAATGCTGTCTTCTGTGAGTTGGCATCTTTTCAAGACCAAGCTCTTCAGTGTCGGTGCTGCAAGGAATGAAATCGGCTTAATCGGCTTTCCGTCGTCATCCACTCTGTGCAGCTCAAGCGTCTTTATCGAAGGCAGGCTGAAGAAAGGCAGGATGGATTCTGGGTAGATGCAGTATCCGGAATCCTTCGTAAGATCACCGTCGGGGATCGGCATGCTAAGTTGGAGTGTTTCAAGGCTGTTGAGAACGGAGCTGTTGTTCGAGGCGGATATGAGCTGCCCTAAGGTGCACAGGAATGGGTCTCCGGGAGGGCGAGCTTTGCCTCCGTCATCGTAAATGGCTCGGTCAGAGGTTTGTATCTCTAGGGTTGTCGATGATGAAAGACGAGACACGACAGCAGCTATGACATCTGGCAGTTGAAGCTCTCCAGTAGCATCGTCCTGCATGTTGGCCAGCCATGATCCGAGGATAGCTCTTTCCTCCTTGTCGAAATTCTGGGTGCAAAATTCTCGTCCAAGGCGTTGTGTGCTACGCGTGCCCCGCAGCGTCACACTTCGTATGTTGCTGATTTGCGCGGCATTTCGCACTATAAAGCGTACTTGGCTGATGACTTTGGGTATTGAGCCATCATCAATCCAATCCCAGCAAATTTCATCTTCAATATGTGTCGTCATTTTAGACCTCGTGGTACTTTAGTGTTTTGTTTGTGATGATTGTGTATGCCCCACAACGAAGTTACTCCAAGGCTCGAGTGGACATCTTGCCGCAGCATTCTGCCCTGTAATGGATCCGTCATGTTGGGTAGAATCCCCTGTAAATTTAGTTGCTCACTGGCTACGGGATGCGATCAAACACCCCCGGGCCGCTCCATCTAGGTCGGCCAAGTGCTGTCGGCTGGGCGGTCGAGCTTGCCAGACGGGACCGTGCGTTCAAGCCGAAAGAATCCGGCGATAATTCCGTCCAAAATTATTGTCATTCCGTCAACCTAACCCCGACATCCTCAGCCGCGCATAGCTTCTGTCAATACGCGCCAAACGAAGCCACTGTGGCGGGACAAGCGGGCTAGTCCCGAATGCAATGTAATAACACGACTAACGCGAAGTATCAAGGCGATGACATCCCAGAAGCCGAGGATTACGAGGCCCTCGTAACGTCGAAACCCCACGCCTATCTCCACGTGCATTGCCTACGTATCCCGCGCCGAACACGGCCATCCCGAACCAGCGAGGATTCCTTCTTTGCTGCTGCCATTCGTCATGAATGGGCGATGCAAATCCTTAGGACTGTTGCAAAAGGGCGTCAGCCCCCGGCGGCGTTCCGGCAATGGCTGAAATCTCCGCTTTTGAGTGCCGTTTGCTGAGGGAAACGCCGCCGGGGTGGCTTGACACCCCTTTCGCAGATCATCCTAGCCACATAGGATGCGATATAAACCTTTCACCACGTCCTATAATCCTTGGGGAGTGATGTCTCACTGGTGCAGTCTATCTTTCCAACATGCCTGATTCCAAGAGTATCATGAGCTCCGAGTCGGACGAGTTGCTTGGCGACAGCCCTCCTCCGTATGAGCTTCACTCATCAGGCGCGCTTCTTTCTAGCGCCGCAGCCATATCTGGTAGGCTCATCGCTGCCATGTGGTGCTTTTTGCTAACCGTCAACTAGCCGATGGTCAGGTTAACATCAACTTCCAGTCTGAGTATCCTGAGAAGCTTGCGGAGGAGCTTCCACCCTTCCCAGATGATGAAAATGCCACTGCGCCGATATTCAACGATAAAACGGTCCCTCCTCTCAATGTCGTGATTCAAGTGGTCGGCAGTCGTGGTGAGTAGAAGACATGCTCATCAATTGGAGACGATCGTGACTTACTTGCTGCAAATTAGGCGATGTCCAGCCCTTCATTGCTCTTGGCACAGCTCTTCGCAGATACGGCCATCGCGTACGGCTCGCAACCCACGATACCTTCGCCAAGTTCGTGACGGATTCCGGGCTGGAGTTCTTCCCCATTGGCGGCGATCCGGCAGACCTCATGTCGGTATGTGCAATCCTTATCATCGTGATAATGTTTCCACAATTGACTCCATCATAGTACATGGTCCGCAACCCTGGACTGATCCCATCCATGGAATCATTGAAAGGCGGTGATGTTGGACGGAAGCGCACCATGATGAGAGAGATGCTCCACGGATGTTGGCGGTCCTGCATCGAGCCTGACCCCATCAGCAAGGAGCCATTTGTCGCAGACGCCATCATCGCCAACCCTCCGAGCTTCGCCCACGTTCACTGCGCTCAAGCATTAGGCATACCCGTCCATGTCATGTTCACCATGCCATGGACTGCCACTCGCGCTTTCCCGCACCCACTCGCCAACATTCAACGTGGCGACAACCTCGAGCCTCAGACGACAAACTGGCTCTCGTACGGAGTCGTCGAGTTGATGACATGGCAAGGTCTCGGCGACGTGATCAACTCCTGGCGACGCAAAGACCTTGAGCTCGCGCCGATACCAGCAAGTATGGGACCGGGCATCACCACGTTTCTGAAGATCCCGCACACTTACTGCTGGTCACCGGCTGTTGTCTCGAAATCTGCTGATTGGGGACCGGAAATCGACGTCTGCGGCTTCTTCATGAGGGACGAGCCTTCGTTCAACCCGCCATCCGACCTAGACGCCTTCCTCGCATCAGGCCCCCCTCCCCTCTATGTAGGATTCGGCAGCATTGTGGTGGATGATCCCGCCCGACTGACAGACGTCATCATCGCTGCAGCAAAAGCTTGCAATACTCGCGTGATTATCTCTCGGGGATGGAGCAAACTCGGCGAGGGGAAGCCTAATACGGACGACGTCTTTTATCTAGGCGATTGCCCGCACGAGTGGCTGTTTAAACGGGTGTCAGCAGTGGTTCACCATGGAGGAGCAGGGACAACGGCGTGCGGTCTCATCAACGCCAGACCGACCATCATCGTGCCATTTTTCGGAGACCAGCCATTCTGGGGTCGTGTGGTTGCCGGTGCGGGTGCCGGGCCTCTGCCAATTCCTCAGAAGGAACTCAGCGCGGAACGCTTGACCGAGGCAATCCAATTTTGTTTGTCCCCAGAGGCGAACCAGGCTGTGAAGCAAGTAGCCAACATCATGCAACGAGAACGAGGTGTTGATACCGCTGTCGAGTCTTTCCACCGAAACATACCTGCCGCCAGCCTTCTTTGCGACATGCTGCCTGAACAGCCCGCCGCCTGGACGTACGAGGCGAAGGGCAAGTCTGGCCGCAAACATCTCAAGCTTTCAAACCAAGCCGCCACATATCTGATCGATGCGAAGAAGATCAAAGCTTCCGACTTGAAGCCTCTCCGAACGAAAGAGTACAACACCGACGTCACGCGATGGGACCCCATTACCGGTGGTGCGTCGTCACTCCTCGGGACGGTGACCGACTTCACCGTCGCGTTGGGCGGCACTTTCATCGACCCATGGAAGGAGTACAAACGCTCAAGAGCCTCTGGTCACGAGGCTGGGCGAGCCAGTGGTTCGGCTGCCTTGGCTGCTGGAAAGGGATTCGCCTCCATGACGGGAGCCGTCGCCAAGGGTGGCCTTGTAGACATGCCACTTGCGCTCACAGAAGGTCTGCACAACGTTCCGAGGCTCCTCGGTGACAAGCCTCGTGATAATGGCAAGGTCGAAGACTGGAAGAGTGGAGGTGTCGTAGCTGCAAAGGTGAGTCGAACCATCACATAGAACCAACTGTAACTGCCTCTAACGAGACACCAGACCTTTGGAACCGGCTTCTACGACGGCATCACCGGTGTCTTCACCGACCCCTACAAAGGTGCAAAGGAGGGAGGGGCTCTCGGCCTGATGAAGGGTGTCGCCACAGGCTCCCTCGGTCTTTTTACCAAACCAGGCGCCGGTAAGTAAACAAACTTCGTTATCGTCGAGTATGTCGGTCAGAGCTGACCCGTGTTGACCAGGGATGTTCGGGCTGGTGGCATACCCAGCACAGGGAATTCATAAATCCCTCAAGTCGAGGACGGGACGCGGGCATACGGTGTGGCAGGCAAAGTCTGACCTTCTAGACCGTGACCGGCGGAAGCAGCGCGAGGATTCCCCCCGCGCCGGAAGCAAGGTCCTGCAGGTGTTCGATGCCTACTTTGCGCAATAAAGTCGCATGCGAAGTGTATCATTTGGGGCGGCCACTTAGACAATAGCATTACCAAGCGATTGGGTTTCTACTGTATGGATTTGCTAGCTTGCTTGGCGTATCTGAATGTACTTGGTGGTTCCATGCATGTGAGAGACATTGGTATGGGACAAGGCAGGTAGAAGATCAGTGAGAAGATGGAACGCTTAATCGGATACAGGCTCAACTGGAAGCTCTCTGATGGCTCAATGCCTAACGAGTCCCAATTAGAGCAAAAAGGGTTCGAAAACAAAAGTGATGGGACGTTTCTGGCTGGCCGGTCGGAGGAGAACGCGACAGATACGTCAGGAACAGAAGACGAACCATCGCCCCATGGCCACCCACATGCGACCAACCACCTCACAGCTGAAAGACAAGGCAAAAACAAAGAAACAAGCATGAACCGATGTCAAAAGTCCTTCAGGTTGCAACGAGAAACAAACAGAAAAAACAAAAAGTGGGTTCCCCACCTCCGGCACCCCGGTCCCGAGAACCTTGATGTCCCGGGCTCGGGCGGGGTTTGAGAACCCGGAGGGCCGCCGCCGACTCAGCCTCCCATACTCAAAGACCACTTCCACCCTCACCACCCTCGAGCTCGAAGCCAACACGACTTTAGCACCTCTTGGCCGTGGGGTCCTTCGCCTTGGCTACCATCTGTTTTCTTCCCCATTGGCCAATGGGGACTACATCCCTCCAGCGTCAGTCATGATCGTGAGCTTGGCGTTGAGCTCGCCCGCTTTGCTTGGCAATCACCCGACGGCTCGACTAACACAACCTCGCAGATGCCAAGATGGTCGATATTGTTCGCGAAGGGCAGTCATGACCGAGAATGAGCTTGAGAGGTAACTCCACATGGGCGAAATATTGGCACTTTGTCCTTCAAAGAAACGAAAAAGCTTGCTTGTGAGTTCCGGAGGAGGGGTTCGTTGGGAGGGATACGGTGGTCTGGACGGCGGAAGATGGCTGGCGATGACTGCATACCCGCGGCGCATGTCGTTGCCCGATCAGCACATACGGCCGGGAGGGATCATGGCAGGATCAGCCTGGCAGAGCGGGCATGACGAACGACGACCGACGAACCCACGCGAGCAGCAAACCCCTCATGGGCAAACAGCTAGCTCGCGTCTTGGCTCGACATGTCGAAAAGAATCCCCATTGGCGTCCCAAAGCTACGGGACTGCTCTCTCGATGAAAAAGAATTTTCCCTCGCAGCATCCCGCAGCTATAAAAGACGACCCGCATACCTCCCCATCACCAACTCTCGAAGAAGCTCCAAGCTCAAGCTGTTTCCCAAGCTCCTAGCTCACCTCACCTACATCAGCCCTTTCAAGCTCCTTGAACCAACCTCTCCAAACACATTCAAGATGATGTACACAACCCTCACCGCAGCCATGCTGCTCCTCTCCGGCGCCTCGGCATCCCCCCTCGCCGTCCGCCAGGAAACCACTACCACCACCACCCCCTCCGCCTCCGTGCCGACCCCGGCCGAGCCGTACTCCTGGTCCAAGGACTGGCAAAAGACCTTCCCCATCCACCAGTCCTGCAACGCCACCCTCCGCGCCCAACTCGAGGTCGCCCTCGCCGAGACGCAGTCCCTCGCCGCCCACGCCCGCGACCACATCCTCCGCTTCGGCGACGCCTCCGAGCACGTCCGCAAGTACTTCGGCAACGCCTCCACCGCCGCCGCCGTCGGCTGGTACGAGCGCGTCGTCTCCGCCGACAAGTCCCCCATGACCTTCCGCTGCGACGACCCCGACCGCAACTGCGCCACCCAGTCCGGCTGGGCCGGCCACTGGCGCGGCGACAACGCCACCGAGGAGACCGTCATCTGCCCGCTGTCCTTCGAGATCCGCCGCCCCCTCTCCTCCGTCTGCGGGCTGGGCTACAACGTCGCAAACTCCAAGCTCAACACCTTCTGGGCCACCGACCTGCTCCACCGCGCCTTCCACGTGCCCACCGTCTCCCTCGGCCAGGTCGAGCACTACGCCGAGGACTACGCCGAGGTGCTTGACCTCGCCAAGAACAATGCAAGCCTGAGTGTTGTCGACAGCGACGCGCTGCAGTACTTCGCCATTGACGTCTGGGCCTACGACATCGCCGCCCCTGGTGTCGGATGCTCCGGTGAGCTCGAGGAGGAGCACGACCACGACACGCCTGCGCCTACCACCACCGCCGCCGCGCCCGCCGCGACTACCTCCAGCGCTCCTCAGGAGTGTCACACCCACGCTGACGGCGTCCAGCACTGTACCTAAAGCACCAACAGAACGGAAAAACGAAGCATAGGTAGTTGGAGAGCGTGTGGAGTGGGGAAGGGATGAGAGAGAAATAATCTTACATGCCGAGACGATACCACTGGATTCATGACATTAGACGAGTTTTGGGAACATATATCATTCTGGAGGATGACCTATTAATGATGAACATATTAGACATTCAACTTCAACTGATCGCTGCTCCAGGTTGCAAAGTCCGGGGTTGATAAGAAGAAGCTCATAGTAATGACACTAGCCTGACCGGGAATACCCCTCGCGTACCGTTCTCGCCAGTTTTTGGTAATGCACCTTTCATCTTGACTGTATTCTGTCCCTCAGGTATGGCTTTGTGCCATCGGTTGCTCATCGTAATCCCCAGGGTTCTCTCAGATGCCTCCGCCCTCTCAGGGTTGTGAAAAATAGAGGTGCTGCCACACCTGCGAGACGAGGCAGATCTCGCGGCTGGGCAGCGCAGTAGCAGCCTAGAAACATTTAATAACCCTGAGTATACTTCTCAAAACGGCACACACTCCGAACCATTCAACACTGTTGGCTCTCCCACATGCATGCGCTCTTTAGGCTGACCGAGCATACGTAGCAGGGGTTAGGAGGACATCCCCGCGCCCTCAGATCAGGCAGCCAATTGACATGCAGCAGTCCATGCATGGACTGTGCCACAGATTAGAATCCTTGGTCCTTGAAAGGTAGGTTTCTTCCTCTTCGATTACACTGCCACAATATCAATCGTACGTTTGATACTTGCACGTGTGATCTTGCTACCCCATTGGCTCAGGCAATCAGCCTCTTCCAGAGCGAACCGTATGGCGAACCATTTCTTACTTATAGCTGAGTCGCATAAAAGGCTCCGACAACCTGTCTTTCATGAATGACACTAAAAGCTCCTAGCTGCTGGTAGGAAAGCGGCCTCTTTCCCCTTTCGCAGACATCGTACTCGTCTTCATCTGGTCCATATTCACAGTATCTGCGCCAATATCAATGAGCACATCAGCAATGGATCCTGTCAGTCTGGCAGCTTCTCTCATCTCGATTCTTACTGCTGTCATTTCGAGTGTCAAGTTCATCAACACCATAGCGGACCGTCCGGAGGCATTTCTCATTGTTGAAAAAGATCTACCTCTCGTACAGGACATTCTGGAAAAGGCTAAGCAAGGCCTCGGCACACCAGATTGTGATGACAAGGAGAAGGCAGTGGCATATGCAGCTCTCAAAAGCTGTGAAGAGAAGGCTTTAGAGTTGCAAGGGATTTCCACGGCAATTCAGGCCAAATGTGAGGCGGATAAAGACACGAAAACGTGGACTTGGTCTAAAGTACGTGTCTGGTACCGAACAGCTGTGAGGACAAACAAGTCGCATCGGGTAGAAAAGTTGATGGAGGCGATTTTGGAGGGCATTCAAAAGTTGGCTCTCCGGAGTATCTTCAAGCTCGATGACGACGTGGAGCGAATCGCCAAGGCTCTTGATGAGCTGCTGAGGGTGGAGCCTTCTTTGGAGGATTCGGATATCGACAACGGCAATGTTCAAGCCACGCAAAACATCGCCCCTCGCGGCAGCGGCCAGATGAACACGAACACTGGAGATAACGCAAAAAACTACCAGTTTTCCCATGTTACCTCCCTTTACATGAGTTAGTCTCCATAGAAAATGAGACTGTATTACGAATATTGACACTTCCAAATTGAAGATAATTATTTCGGCGAGGGTGCGAAAGGGCACTTCCCTGGGAATGACCCCGTGGTTGCGATCGAGAAAAGACGTACACGTAAGCCTCAGCCACCAAAACAATAAGTGTTTCTGTCCTGATATCGATTAGTCCGGATTCAAGAACTGCAAATCTTCTGCAGGAAGACTTGCGAACTCGAACGCATTTCTGCCACCAAAGAAAGTTACGAATGGCTTTCCGAAACAGAGAAATATAAGTCTTGGATTGCACAGAAGACAACACCTGGAAACGCTACACCACATGTTCTACTTTTGCATGGTAAGGCAGGGAGTGGCAAGTCGGTTCTCATGCAAAAGACAACGGACACGTTACTTCGAGATGCCAGGTGCCAGAATCGATTACTCGTGAGATTTTTCTTCGACGCCTTGGACCCTGAGAATATGAAGAATTCGGTCATTGGGCTTTTGCGCAGCTTTTTGCATCAACTACTGGAGCAATTGGAAGCCAGCAACGACATTATGGTCATTGTTGACGCAATCAGAATCCCGCAAGATGACTCAAGGTGGGATCGCAACACTCTTGAGCAAAGCCTGACAAAGCTCCTCAATGCGTTGAAAGACAGTGATATTTTTCTTTTTCTTGATGCCATCGATGAGTGTCAAAAGATTGAGGAGGCTAAGGAAACGACCCCATTTGATGTGCTCAGAACTCTTCATTCTCAATTCTTGCAAAAGCACACCAACATCAAGATGATGGTATCGGCGCGAAGTCCGAGAGACTTTGGGCAACTCCCAGATTCGATGGACATGACGGACATCGACATCACACGGCACAATCGACTGCACATTGACGAGTACATAGGCATTCAACTTGCAAATATGTATTCCGACAATCTGCCCTTTCGCCACAAAATCATACATCTTGTGTCTAATAGGGCTTCAAACATATTTCTCTGGGCAGAACTCGTGACTTCATTATTGCAGAGATTGGCAAGAGCAGGACTAGACGCATCGGAAACTATTGATAGGTTGAACGATATGCAGCCAGGGCTGAGCAACCTTTACCGAAGTCTTCTGGAGAAAATTGACGACAGTCGACGTACAGAAGCGGTCATGCTGCTCCAATTGGTCCAGGTTGCCGCACGACCACTAAGCTTGATCGAAGTCTGGTCAGTCTTGAACCAGAAGTCAACTTCTCAACGGCAACTGAAGTTGATGCAGGACGATCAAATTGCGGAGCAGTTGGGCGACCGGCTGCATAATTTGTCGGGTGGTCTAGTTGAGCTCAGAGCTTATCAAGCCACTTTACAGCCACAAAACGAACGACCGGTCAAATACACCGTGCAATTCATAAACCGATCTGTCAAATCATTCCTTCATGATGGAGAATTAGCCATGTCAAACTCCGATGTGGCATGCCACGCCGCAGTTGCGAAGCTTTGCACGAGCTTTGTTTCGAGTGCTCCATCGCTCAAGTTGGAGGATCAAAAGTTTGAGCTAGAAGTTGGATTTGTGGCATACGCAAGCCAATTTTGGACTTTTCACTCGCGAAAAGGCAGCGCGTTCATGTCCAATGATGGCATCCCATCTCGATTTTTGAGATGCCCCAAAGAGGGCAGTAACATCAACATACGCTTCATTAGATATGTGAAGCTTGGAAGCACAGCTTACAACAACATCAACGCAGAAGATATTCCGGAAGTACGTCTTCTCCAGCCAAATCTCTACCAGACGGGCAGCAGCCAAGCAAACTCGTCAATGCCTGAAACTAGTCTACTCTCCTTGCTGGCCTTTGAAGGTTGCGTTAGTCTGATCCCCTGGCATAGAGATAATTGCGTTAAATGTCGCACAAGCACTGGTATGTTCGAAAATGCCTTCTTTCTGGCTGTTTACCGTGGCTGGCTTGATGCTGCA